TTAAGCTACTGCCCTGTTTTTTGTTGTTTTAGCAAAGAGTTTGGTTTTACAGTGTTAACATGGCCTGGTGAGAGTAGAGAAGTCAAAGTTGGGAGCCTGAGGTTTCCCTTCCCACCTGAGACCCACAACTGATACACTGCGTTTCTGTCTTCACTATGAACACAGCATATTGCTGTCCTTTAGGAATATATTATTCAACAGTTCTCTGTTAAAGCACTTTGGAATCTTTAGTATTTTATTTCTATGAAATTATAATGAATAATTATTTGCTATCTTGAAATATGGAATTCCTATCCCTCCCCTTCTCCATACACAAATAGATAAAATGACACATTTAAAATTTCACCTCAGTATTTATTTCTTTTCCTTCAACGTTTAAAAAAAAAAAGTCCTATTTTTTCCCCCTTTCAACTATTTTAAGTTAGGCCTGAATTTGGGAGGGATGGAAGGTTTAAGTAAGGCAAAGGATTCATTTAGGACAAGCTTCTGGCCTTTATTTGTAGGGCAGAGTGCCACTGTTTCCCTCTGATCTTCTAATTGTACACACAACACCTTCTAAATGGGATGCCTCCAATCCTCAAAATGGTAGTTGTCAGAGAGAAAGAACTAATTGTTGGTAGGGTTCTCAGCAATGATAACTAATGGACTACAAATTCTGCCTGCATATATCAATATCTCACTGAAAGATACAATACCCCAAGGGACCATGCCTAGCAAGGGGAATAAATAAAACAATGGTCCACAATCAACTGTCTGATAAAACTACCAACCTCTGTTTTCTACCCAAGCATGAGAGTGAAATATAATCTTGCTTCCCCAAAAGTAAGAAAGGCACTCGAATTAACACAGTATGTATAGTTGTTTTTTTTAAAAGACACCGTGTGACAGTAAGTAGAATTCTTGGGGTTGATTCTCCTTGTGCACTAACCTTCCAGTGTCTCCACACACGTCTGCATTAAACAGAAGCTCACTACAGAGCATACCTAGGCATAGGGAGACAGCAGCACATAAAATGCAAGGTGTGCCCAGTTCTCCTTAAGCAATTTATTCAAAAGACAAAAGCTTCCATTGTTGCAATGTTCAAATTTTCTAGCACACTTTAAACATCTTAAAGTTTTTAAATATAATTTTCTAGTAACAAAATAACTGCTTTCTGAAAAAAAAATCATACATTACTTCCTTTTACAACAAAATCTTTAGCATCTTCTTTAATTCAGGGGAATGAAAGTACAGATTAGATCGTTGTATATTAGGTGGTAGTTGTCATCTTTTTATTAGATGAACAACCTGCTGCAATATTAAAAGTTCTTTATACACACACACACACACACACACACACACACACACACACAGTTTGTGTGTGTGACCCAACAAGCATGAATTGGTATGACCTGAACACATAACTAAATGACAAAGTCTACCATATAGGCTTCCTACAGAGTGTTGCATAAAATCCAAGAACTTCTGTTTCTACAACTTGTGTCACCTAAGCCCTTAACTGAAGATTTAAGTGGCATTTTAGATTAAATGCATATTTAATCCTATTCATATATATGAAGCTTTGAATTTAAGTGAGAAGCATACCACAGGAATAAGAAATATGACTGAAAAGTCTGGGCACAGAGTTTCTAAAGAGGTAATAAAATGTTAAAATCTAGAAAAGAAAAAGGAGACATTAATATGTATCAAAATTACCAAGCTTAAAAATGACTCACAGATTTAAGAAATACCTGAAATGTCACAGTTGAAGTTGCAGGGAAAAAAGGAGAGGCATAAAAAGACAATCCATGTACAGGTACAGATCAACAAGCCCTTGAAATCAAAGAGTTTCTTCAGATGATCAAACGTGGCTCTGGCTCTGTACACAAGATCTGTCCTCCAACATCACAAACAAACAGAAAGTGCTGTTCTTAATGTAATTGGGCTTCATTAACTGTAGAGTTTTTAATATATATTAGAGTACAGTTGATAATTATAGCACTGCATGTCTTGGCTGGGATTTAATAAGTTTAAACAAGGTAATGAAATGAAGAAAAAAATCTAAATCAGCTTATTCTAGACTGGGTGCAGTGGCTCACACCTGTAATCTCAGCATTTTGGGAGGCTAAGACAGAAGGACTGCTTGAGTCCAGGAGTTCGAGACCAACCTCAGCACACAGCAAGGCTTCCTCTTTATAAAAAATTAGCCAAGTATGATGGCACATACCTGTAGTCCCAGCTACTCAGAAGGCTGTAGTGGAAGGATCACCTGAGCCCAGGAGTTTGAGGCTGCAGTGAGCCATGATTGTGCCACTGCACTCCAGCCTGGGCAACAGAGTGAGGCCCTGACTCAAAAAAAAACCCCAAACAAACAAAAAACCCTTTATTTTAGGATGCAAGGCTCTCCCAAATATTATGAAGCTAGAAAGTATCTTTCATTCATTCACAATCCATTCCACAAATCCATCAATTAATCATCTCTCATTCTATCACAACAAATCTTTCTCTTCTTTCACACAGTGAATCATTCATTAATTTAATAAGTATTTAGTGAACTCTCACAACGTACAAGGCACAAATAGAATCTGGAAAAACCATACTGCCAAAATATGTATACTAAAAAAAAGGTGAGGTGAAGATGGTGGTAAAGATAGTTACACTTACTGCTTTTTGCTTGTCAGTCGTACTCTTAATCCACAGGATGGTGTGATGACCTGCTATTCCTCCAGTGAGAATTCAATAAAATGTGTTAAAAGAAAACCATCTTTTCCTTTTAACAACTAGATATTTATAGAAAAATAAATGAAGACTAACAAGCCCCTGATAATAGACACAGCTTTTCCACTGCATGAGCTCATTTAGTCAAAAATATCATGCTATAGCTAGCGAGTTCAGATGCCAATCACTTAGGAAAAAACCACAATCATATAGGGCAATACTAAGATTTTCTGTGAATGAACAATCGAAAAACGTAAACTTTAGAAATAATGCAACACACAAAAGTCACATATTAACATTATCCTATGGATATTTATATTTTTACTCCCTACTTAAGACTTTATTAGGAAGACAAGAGACCAAGATATATTAAAGGACTGTATGGTTTCAGAAGGGGTGGGTTAAGAGCCTTAGAAAAATATGAAGCTACTTAACAGCAAAGATGGGCAAATTAATCAGTGGAGGGTATACAAAGGCATGGGGCACTATAAAAATTAGCTAATGTTTTATAGAGTATCGGCTATACTCATGTTCTGACACTCCCTCACATCAAAGCGTAAGAAGTCCTATTACGTAGGATACCAAAAATGATGCTTGGGAAAAGAAGGTAATACAGAGTGAGGCCAGAATTTGGCAACATGTATTAGTGGAATGGGCTCAACCTCCAATGTCTCTCTGTGCAGTTTCCTCCCAACCCTCACAGGAGCTAAAAATCACAAACTAATGGTTTTGTCCATAGAGGTTTAGGTAGGCCTTAAGGTATTTGTCTCAAAATATGCTTTGTACCCAAAAGGTCACGGAATTATGCTTATAATGGCAATTTTTTTTTAACCTAAGTATTATAAAAGCTATAAAAGGGTAATTTTTGCCCCAAGAGAGAAGAGTAACTTCTGTCTACCAGGGCCAGGCTAGCCAACTTCTAGTGTTCGTAAGTCTCATTCAGTTCAATGGTGTGCCACTCAACAAAACTATAATGCTCAAGCAAAAGACATATTCTTCCTTAAGACAATACACCTAACTCAAGTCCAGGCTTTCCATAAAAGTGGAAGAGAAGAGGCTTGCATTTCCCTACATCTTCCCACCCTCCAGGTTACCTTACAAGTAAAAAGAACAGGCAAATCAAGGTAGTCACATTACTATTACTCACATTCTGCACACACACAGGACAACAGACAGCTTCAATCATTAGGGAAACAGAAGGATAGCTCTTGGTCATAATTCCTGCGTGTGTATGTGTGTTTTAGATGGGGTATAAGATTCACTGTAAATAGAGAGGAGAATATCTTCAGGACACACTCCTGAAATAAGATAGATAAGAAAAAAATATACTAAAGTGAAAATGACAAAAAATATGGAATGAATTGGCAAAATAAATAGATGTGTAAAGAAGAAACAAAGACCATTTCCAAAGGGGAAAATATAAGACAGTAGGCGTTACCTGGCCCATTCCCCACCCTCCACCTCACTGACCTAAAAAACTCAGCCTTTGTTATTGAAAAGATAAGATACAGCTGTAGTGTGGAGACTTTGGTACCTCATCCCTGATAAGTTCAGTATCAAAGTGTTTTGTTTTATTTTTAAAATAAAGATTGAAGAACGAATCTCCAGTTTACTATTCTTCTCCCCTGGCACTTACCAGTTAACTTTTGTTACTCCACAATAATTTTGTAGTTTAATGCATTTTCAATCATCTATATTTTACAAAAAGAAATACTTTATGGATACATTTCTATGTATATATTTCTCCTGTTTTTCATAAATAAATTTGAAATGAAAATAGTAGTAAAAACTAAAAATGGCATACCAGGTTTTTAGAAAAAAACAATTTTATAAGGGTTGACAAATGTTTTGGCATATACCAAATATGAGGTAAAAACAATCTATCAAAACTAGTAATAAAAATAATTTTCCATTACTGTAATTACATAAACTCTTAAATTAGTCTTTTTTTAAATAACCATTTTAAAAATGGATTACTTGGAAGAATTTTTTCATATAAATTCCAATACTTCTGACTTTGGTTATGTTAGTCTAAAACTTGAGCAGAATATAAGTTAGAGAAAGAGAACTGTTTTATGTTTTCATACATCCACCCATCTAGCCATTTAATTCCCAAAACAATAATTAAGTCATTCTGCATTCATGTTAATGCTTTTAAAAGATGCAACATAAATTTTTAATTTAAAAAAAAATTGCCTATGCAGCAAGTGCACTGAGGTGGGTGAAGGTGTGTGTAAACCAACAAGAACAAATAAGCCCACACATAAAAATACAAAGCATGAGAAGTTAAAAAGAAAATTTAAGACTCATTGTTTAGCAGGAAGGAACAATACAATTACTTTATCCCCAAAGGAATGCCAGTTATTAACAAAATAAATAAAATGAAATATTTACTATGAACTTCTAACCTAAAGATGAAGAACATATGGTTAGCTAATAATGGTAAACAATTCATGCAGTTATGTCAGTAAAAAAGGGAAGCAATATTGCACTAAAAGGGGAACCTTTTAGGACTAATCCACCTCCTTCATTGACTCAAAGTAACCAGCCATTTCCTGTACGCGTTGGCAAATCTGGCTTGTTCTACATTCCGGCAAGTGGACAATACTTGATCAATGAACTTGTGCTCCATTTCTAGGCCTAGGGAATCCGGAGCTGGGGTCCGCTTCAGGCGTTTGGTTTCCTGGGAATAGCCTTGCTTGCTAGTGTCATTCAGTCCATCCACTTCCATTGCCTGAGACAGTTGGGGGCCTGCTGGGATAAGGTGCAAGTCATTCAAAGTCCCCACAGGACTGTCTACAGGTGACAACTGGGTCATACTGTGAAGAAACCTACCATTTAAGTGATGCTGAAGATAGAAAACATGCCGCCTGTGACAGAGGAGAGGGAGGAAAAAAAAAAAAGAAAATCACATCACAAAGTCAAGATTTTCAGGAAATACACACAAAAGAGTTGGCAATTTCAAAAATACAGTACTCGGTTCACTGTTCACTTTACAACCCAGAGGACAAACCTTAAGACAGATAAACTGCATAATGATAGAGTCAGCTAGAAAACTGGCCTGTGTAAAACAAGCCTATCTCATTTTATTGTGCTTTCCTTTAATGTACTTCATGGATGCAACTTTAAAAAAAAAAGGAAGGTTCGTGGCAATCTTGCAAGTAAGTCTTATAGGTGCCATTTTTTCCAACAGAATATGCTCACTTTCTACCAATGCTACATTTTGGTAATTCTCTTAATATTTCAAAATTTTTCATTATTATCTACTTCGGTGATCTGAGCTCAGTAATCTTTAATGTTACTATTGTAATTGCTTTGGCGTGTCACATACAACACACATATAAGATGGCAAAATGAATCAATAAATGTTGTGTCACGTGTTCTGACTGCTTTACCGACTAGCTGTTTCCCCATCTTCCTCCTTACCCAGGCCTCCATATTCCCTGAGATACAACAATATTGAAATTAGGCCAATAAATAATGCTACAATGGCCTCTGAAATATTCAAGAGAAAGGAAGAGTAACACATCTCTCATTTTAAATCAAAAGTTAGAAATGATTAAGCTAAGTAAGGAAGACATGTCCAAAGCTGAGACAGGCTAAAAGCTAGGCCTCTTGCACCAAAGAGATAGCCAAGATGTGAATGCAAAGGAAAAGTCCATGAAGGAAATTAAAAGTGCTACTCCAGTGAACACACAAATGGTAACGTGAAAGTTTTATTGCTGATATCGAGCCCATTTTAGTGGTTTGGGTAGATCATCAAACCAGCCACGGCATTCCTTTAAGCCAAAACCAAATCTAGACAAAAGTCCTAATGCTCTTCAATTCTAAGAAGGCTGAGAGAGGTGAGGAAGCTGCAGAAGAGTTTGAAGCCAGCAGAGGTTAGCTCATGAGGTTTAAGGAAAGAAATAATATCCATAAAGCTTCAAAGGAGAGGCTGATTCTCTTAGTAGGGGTTAATGCAACTAGTCACTTTAAGTAGAAGTCAATGTTCACTTACCATGCCAATAATCTTAGGGGCCTTAGGAATCATGCTAAATCTACTTTGCCTGTGTTCTATCAATGAGAAGTCTGGATAAAAGGAGAAATGCTGACAGCACATCTGCTTACAGCATGGTTTACTGAATGTTTTGAGCCCAAGGTTGACACCTACTGCTCAGAAAAAAAAGATTTCTTTCAAAATATTACCACTCATTGAAAATGCACCCCATCACCCAAGAGCTCTGATGGATACGCAAAAGATTAATGTTGTTTTCATGCCACTAACACAAAACCCATTTTGTAGCCCATGGATTAAGGAGAAATTTCAACTTTCAAGTCTTGTTATTTAAGAAATACATATTGTAAGTTATAGCTACCATAGATAGTGATTCCTCTGATGGATCCGGGCAAAGTAAATTGAAAACCTTTTGAAAAGGACTCACCATTCTAGATGCCATTATGAACATGTGTGATTCATGGGAGAAAGTCAAAATATCAACATGAATAAGAGTTCGGAAGTCAAGCTAATTCCAACCCTCATGAATGACTTTGAGGGATTCAAGACTTCACTTGAGAAAGTCACAGCAGATATGGTAGAAACAGCAAGAGAATAAGAATTACAAGTGGAGCCTGAAGAAGTGACTGAATTACTGCAATCTCATGATAAAATCTGAACACATGAGTAGTTGTCTCTAATGGATGAACAAAAAAAGTGGTTTCCTGGGATGGAATCTACTTCTGATGAAGATGCTGGAAATACTGTTGAAATGACAACAGAGGATTTAGAATATTATATAAACTTAGTTGATAAAGCAGTGTCAGGATTTGAGAGGACTGACTCTAATTTTGAAAGAGTTCAACTGTGGGAAAAATGCTATCAAACAGCATCGCATGCTATAGATAAATCTTTCATGAAAGGAAGAGTCAATCGATGAGGCAAATTTTATTGCTATCTTATTTTAAGAAATTTCCACAGCTAACTCCAACCTCCAGCAACAACCACCCTGATGAGTAAGCAGCCATCAACATCAAGGCAAGACCCTCCACTAGCAAAAAGATTATGACTAGCTGAAAGTTCAGATGCTTTTTAGTATTTTTAAGCAATAAAGTATTTTAATTAAAGCATGTATGTTTTTTAGACACAGTACTACTGCACACTTAACAGACTACAGTATAGTATAAATATTACATTCATATGCATTAAGAAACCAAAGCACTCAGGTGACTTGCTTTGTTGTGATATTCACTTTATTGCAGAGGTCTGGAACTGAACCTGTATCATCTATGGGGCATGCCTGTAGCAACACAAATCTATAACATCAAAACAACCTGCAAGTTAAGATCTATTTTCTCTCTTGAAAAAGTGAAATAACAGTGTTTTGGTTTTATGATAAAAAGAGAATTTTCTACTAATAAAGGTGCCAAAGAGTGGAGATTGTCTTCTGAATATATTTACCAAGAAATTGCAGCTGACGAAGTCTTAACAGCCTACATTAAAATACTACACTTAAGAAAGGGGGAAATACACAAATAACTTCCGAAAAACACATATTTTTTAAATGCCTACCTCCTGCCTAGCACAGGTAAATCTTTTGTTTACAAACAGAATCCTGTGGCTAAAAGTAGAATCTGTATTTATGAAGATGAAGATGCCTCCAAATAAAGGAAGATCCAAAATAAATGAAGCTAGGAAGGGGTTCACATCCCTGGACTTCATTCCAACCTGAAATTTACTTTATTGTCAAAGGTACTCACGACACATGTAAATAGGCTGCTAACCCTCTTTTATTCCTTCCCACTAGTCTTTCCCTACTGCCAAAAAGAAATTCTCTTCCCAGAACTTTGGGAGCCCATGGGTTCGAGACCAGGCTACTTGGCAAGACCTCGTCTCTACAATAAAACAAAACAAAACAAAACAATTAGCTGGGCGTGGTAGCGTGTGCCTGTAGTTCTGGCTACGTGGAAGGCTGAGGCAGAAGGATCGCTGGAGCGCAGCAGATTGATGTTGAGGTGGCCGTGAGTGTGCCACTGCACTCCAGACTGGGGGACAGAGTGAGATTCCAACTCAAAAAAATAAAGTAAGAAAGAAATGCTCTTGCACTGTAAACAAAAAGTATCAAGAGATTATATTTAAGGTAAGTTATTTGTAGACCATCAGCACTAGAAAATGATAAAGCTTACTTTATTCTCAGGGTCTAATCAACAGTCTCAATCCTGACTGTGAATCAAAATTACGTGTTAAAAGTTTTTTCTTTTTTAAGAAAATAGATGGCAGCACTCCTTTCTATAAATGCTAAATATCATGATCTCCAAAGAGGAAGTCCAGAAACTTTTGCCATACTTTTTCTTGTTTGTGTTTCATTTTGAAATAACACAGATTATTCTTTTGCGCAGTCAAGGTTGAATAGGACCATCCTAAGCCATAGGCAGAGATCTTCATGAGGATCTCTAATTTCTCCCTTTTCTTCTTTTTGGCAATACAATTCTTTCCTCATCTGGATGAGGATGATGATGATGACGATGATATAGCAACACAAGCCCTTTGGCACTCACTCAGGCAAAGTGCCACAGTCAGATGACCATGTTTATGTAAACAGCTAGGAATCAGGTACAATACTTTCTGTATTTCTCATATGGACATGCATAGTTTCATGCAGGAAATAAATTTTCCCTTCTCTTACCTATGACACCAAAGAGTTTCATGTCCTGGGTAGGAACCAATAAGATCAGTGCTGAATTCAACTTCTTCTTCTAGAAGATGGGGAAGATTTATCCTTGATTCTTCCGCTAAAGCTGATGCTGATTCATCTTTTGGAAGAACTAGGGCTGGCTCACTTCTCAAAGGGTTTTGCTCCAATACAGAACTGTCCTTCACAGTCTGGCTAATCAAAGACTTTAGCAAAAACTGGCGGTAGTGAAATCCACTGTGGTCTGAGACGTGCATAGATGCCCAATGTTTAGTAGAAGATAGTTCATCAAGAAGAATCTTGAAGGAAGAAAAAAAGGGAAGTAAGTACTCCCAAAGGTTTTTCTATCTCCATTAGTGCCTCTAATTTCTCCTTTTTCTTCTTTTTAGTAATACAATTCTTTCCAATATTTTACATAAAATGTTCAGCACAGTGCTGTCACTTAGTGGAAGCCTAATACATGCCAGTTTTCCCTTTCAATTATAAATGATAATTTTTTTTTTAAACCACAGAACTTGAGGACTTGTCATTCTTTCCCTGGACCTTGACTAATCTCATTCTGACCAGCACACACAGAGAAGAAAAGCCAATTTCTAAAATAATGATGAGTATTAGGATATTCATTTATAAGTAATGCTGACGCAAAATGCAAAATATAAATTCAGAGGTTACTTTGAATAAACTTTCTTCTATATTTAATAAATATGTACCATATCTAACTTCTTATCTGTTCAACGATAAACTCAATGTAATTATTTGTTCTTCACTATAAAGTGCTATGAGGGCAGAGACCATGTCTGTCTTGTTCACTACTTAATTCTGAGGGGCTAGCACAAAAACATGATACATGAATAACAGGATTTTTCAAGAGCTCATGACTTTCACTATTGATCTCAAACTCAATACCAATGATAAATGGGTTTAAAAATAGATAAATAAAATTCTGTAGTAAACTGTTTAAATCTTTGTAGTACCAATCCAGCAAATAAAGAATTTCAAGTAAAATAATTTTTAAAAGCAGCATTTATGAAAAAAAATTATTTGACAGTGTTTTGGACAGGTAGCAAAATGAGTCTTGATCAGTGAAAGGTATATTGAGAGCCTACCATGTTCCATCAGAGGATTTTCAGACCAGCTAAGGAAAAAAGACATACACTGTGAACAATACAGACAGCACAATGCCAAATAACACCTTTACCTACTTGTCAAGGGTCCCAGGTAAATGCTTTCTCCTATACCAAAATTCTCTCTTTATTTCTTACACCCCTTTTCTTCCTTAGACGAAATCTCTTTTCTAAACCTCCATGATGCTTGTGTATTCCATCACATATATTTATGAATTTTCAGTGCATCTCTTCATTCTCACTAAACTCTGCAAGATAGTTATTCATTCCTAATTGATATTTCATTTCCCTATACTCAGGGGCATCAGAGTATATATAGATATTTTATGAAAGAATGAATGAACAATTTAATGAATAAAGTGATTAGTACAAACGATTAAGATTACTTCCAGCCAGAATGAGCAAGTTACAAATGATTAAATATCTCTAAGTTCTAACGAGTTTATTCATAGCTACCTAAATTTACTCCAGAGGCTATAGCTGGCAAGTCTCTGAGAAACGCAAAGCAAGATTGTTTGATTTTAAAAGGTGAGGAAAAATAGCACCAGATAAACTTGTACCTAAAAGGAAAATTAATCTTAAGGTTATTACATTTTTAAAGAATTAACCTGCAGAGCATTTAGGTTATAAAACAGACTTTAAAATTTTGGTTCAGCTTCTTAAGATGAATTGAAACGAGTACTCCAGTTGTTTAAAATGAACTTACATGACACAAAACATATGCAGATTTTTTTTCTTACTGGATATTTCTATGTATAAAATTGCAATTTATTGCTTAAATTTGAGATAAAAATAGCACTTAAGAGGGAGAATCCAAAAAAATCCAGAATTATCTTTTGGCGGGCAAGCCCCTTGTAGCAAACTTGGAATTTGTTCCTCTGGATCAACTGGTCAATCAAAGTTTTTACCTGGAAGTTTTGAGAAGGTTGGGTTATGATTTGAGGAAGAAATATCCAATAAGTTGTGGCAAACAGGTGACTAGTTCTTCTATCATGACAACTCACCTGCCCACACTACACTGAATATTCAGAAATTTTTCACCAAAAGCAGCATGACCTCCATACCTCACTCTCCCTATTCAGCCTATTTCGCCCCAAGTGACATTTTTAGTTTGTTTGTTTCCCTGGATGAAAAAAGTCCTCAAAGGGAAATGCTTTGCCAAGGTGGAAGAAGTGAACAAAAAACAACAAAAACAATAAAGGCATCATGACTGACAAGTTCAAAAACTGTTCTGAGCAGTGGAAAAAGTATTTCCATAACTCTATTGCATCAGAAAGTACTCTGAAGGTGACTGAAGTTTAAATATGTAAAAATAAATACACAATCTCTTATAAATTCTGGGTTTTTTGGGGTCCATCCCTCCTGTAGATGAAGGTTTTTTTGTTTTGTTTCGTTTTGAACAAAATCAATTTAATTTCTTTTAAAAAATTCTTAGACTTGCCAGGTGTGGTGGCTCATGCCTGGAAGCCCAGCACTACTTTGGGAGGTGGAGGTGAGAGGACTGACTGAGCCGATGGGTTTGAAAACAAGCTGGGCAATTTGGTGAGACCTCGTCTCTACAATAAATTTTTAAAAATTGGCCAGGTGCCAAGGCGTGTGCTTGTGGTTCCAGCTACTTGGAAGGCTGAGGCAGAAGGATCACTTGAGCCCAGCAGGTCGAGGCTGTGTTGGCCATGAATGTGCCACTGCACTCTAGCCTAGGTGACAAGTGAGATTCTTACTCAAAAAAAAAAAAAAAATTCTTAGACAAGAGAAAAGCCTACTATATTCTTTTCCTTAAGATATAAAGATTCATATTAAACCAAAGAAGAAAATTTAACAGGAATTTCAAGGCATTTTCTAATTAGAATAAAAAGGTATACAGATATAAACAATGATTTTTTTAAAAGACAGCAATTATTTTTAAGCTATCTGAAGATACTATATAAAAATATGGCTTAAATATAAGGTACTGACAGAATAAATGACCTTTATATGATATGCCTTAAATGTCCTTATTTTTTCCCAATTTCCCTATAAAAAAGTGAATGAGTGAATAAATAAGCTATAAGAAAAGTGTAGCTGAAGAACTATGAAATAGAGGGATAACAGGTTGAAAATGAAAGACTACATGCCACCAGTCTTCTAAATTTCTAAAAAAAACAGCATTTAACTTTTCTTCTGATTATAAAAGTGATACAAAATGGTCACTATAGAAACAATATAAAAAAAGCAGACAAAAAAAAGGACACTATGCAACAATATAAAAAAGCAGACAAAACTCATCCATTATTCTATTGGCCAGAGATCACTACTCTTAACATTCTGGCATAAGATCAATCTTTCAGGTTTTTTTCTATATATGTATATGCACAGTTTAACACAAATTTAGAATTCTCTTTTGTATTTATTTCATTCCACTTCAATTATAAACATATTCTTATGACATAAAATGCTATTCTATAACATATTTCAACTCTTGCATATTAGATCACAATTTAACCATTCCTCTATGTTCCTACTCTTGCATAAGTAGCATTCACATATAAATCTATGTACTATCTATTTAGGGGAAATTTCTAGAAATATATTTGCTGGAACCAAGAGAAAAATCTTATAAGGCTCTTGATATATACTGTCAAAGTACCCCCCAGAAAGGTTGTATAATCTGTGTTCCTACTGGAAGAACATGCTAATGCCTATTTCCTAAATTTGTCATAAATACTTTAATCTTCACTAATTTAAAAAGGAAAAAATCATGTTTCATTTAATTTATATTTCCTCAATTATCATTAAGGCTAAATATTTTTTCTCAGATGATTTTTTGTTTCTTCATTTATGAAGTAGCTATTTTGCCTAATCCTCTGCATTTATGAACTGCCTAATATACTATTTGTGATAGTCATTATTTACCTTGTGAGTGTGTAAGAGATCTTTATATATTAAAGATATTAAGTATCTGTTATATGTGTTGTAAATATTTTTCTCAATATATTACTGCAATTGATTTTTAAAATTCTTTTTATTTTGAAAGCAAGTCAGGAAAAATTATTTTTTCTTTCCCTCCTCGCAGGTCTATTGAGGTATAATTGACAAGTTAAAACTGTGTATATTTATGGTGCACAACAAAATTAACATTTTAAAGTATATATTATGAAATGATTAACACAATCAAGCTAGTTAACATGCTCATCACCTCACAGCTATTTTCTTTTATTTATGCTAAGAACATCTGATCTGTTCTCTTAGAAATGTTTAGGTATACATTATTAACTATAGTTACAAAGTTCCACAATAAATCTCCAGAACGTAATCATCATCCCTGAAACTCTGTACTCTCTGATGAGCAACTTCCCATTTCCCACCCCTCCCCCTACTCCTGCTATCACAACTCTATTCTCTGTTTCTGTGAGTTCAATATTTTTAGACTCCACATATAATTTAGATCATGCATTATCTGTCTTTCTGTGCCTGGCTTATTTTATTTACCATAACATCTTCCAGGTCTCTTTTCTTCTTTATATGGGTTTTTATTACATTTTATTCCATATTGGTAGATGAAATTTTAAAATATATCAGCATTACAAATTGAACAACGAATCCTTTCTTCTATGTGAAATGCCACATTCATCATTAATGAAACCTGTACATATTATGTATTGGGATTTGTTTCTGGGCTTTATAGTCTATTCCATTACTGAGTCTATTTTTGAAACAGTACCGGTTTTAATTACTCTATCTTATTGACAATCTAATAATATAATATAATAATAATAATCTAATGATAGTTTCTTATTTTTCTATTTTTTCCAACAATATCTTAGCTATTCTTGAAGCTTTATTCTTTCCAATGAACTTGAGAATCAATTTTTGAAGTTGAAAAATAAATCAGTGGTTTTTAGTAAATTCACAGAGTTGTGTAGCCATTGTTATCCCCTCACAAAAAAATTCTCATTCCTATTAAGAAGTCACTTCCCCTCTCCTCTTCCCCAGCCTCTGGCACCCACTAATCTGCTTTGCCTGTTCTGAACATGCCATATAACTGGAATCATACAATATGTGGCCTGGAATCTGCTGCTTTTAATCAGCAAAATGTTTTCAAGTTTCATCTACATTATAACATGTATCAGTATTTCATCCCTTTTTTTATGGCCAATATTTCATTGTATGGATATACCTCATTTTGTTTTTCATTCTTCAGATGATGTACATTTGGGTTGTTACTATTTTTTTGGTATGAACAATGTGGCTACAGACATTCTCATATAAATTTTAGAATGAAATGGTTTCGGCTATCCTGGGTATAAATCTAGGAGTGAAAATTGTAGGGTCATATCCAGTAGTTCTTCTTTCCCCCCCAAGAATACAATATTCTTATTAACTGTAGTTGTTTTCATATTTGGCAATAATATGTTTAATTTTTTAAGGAAATACCAAACTGTTTTCCACAGTGGTTGCACCATTTTACGTTGCTATCAGTCATATATAAGGGTTCCAATTCCTCCACATCCTCATCAGCACTTATTATTGTCTGTATTTTAGCCATCCTAGTTGTTGTGAAGTGGTACCTCACTCATTCCGTTTTTAACTTGCATTTCGCTAATGATAATGATGCTAAATATCTTTACATGTCTTTACTGGTAATTTGAATATCTTTTTTGGAAATATGAGAGCATGTGTTTTTTCAGGTGAAGCACCATATTAACTTTTAGACTGTGGGTCTTTTGTCCAAACCTACCCTCAAAACTAAGAATATTTAAAAATTCATATAATTACATGTTCATTTAAATATGTGAACATCTGGTCAAGTGCCATGACTCACATCTGTCATCCCAGCACTTTGGGAAACCAAGGTGGGAGGTTTGCTTGAGCCCTGGAGTTCAAGACCAGCCTAGGCAACATAGAGAGACCTCATCTCTACAAAAATAAAATAAAAAATATTAGCTGGGTACAGCCGCTCACACCTGTAGCCCTAGCACTTTGGGAGGTGGATCACTTGAGCCTAGGAGCTCGAGGCTGCAGGGAGCTGCAGCCCACGTGACAAATTGAGACCCTGACTCAAAAATATAAAATAAATAAGTAATATGCAAACATCATAGGAAGTATAAAGTATAAAATGAAAGTCTCTTAATTCCACATCCTAACACTATTAACTATATTTTACTCTCTCACCTTTTTTCTGACTAAAAAACTAATACATGCTTATTATCAAAAATACAAGAAAAATATCCATAACAACACTGCTATGTGTAAGTATGCACAAATATCTGCTGAGCACTTACTATGTGCACTGTTCCAAACTGTTCCACTGTTTGCTATCTCATTCAATACTAATATATATATTAAAAATCATATTTGGCCTATCATACTTAATTTTATATCCCTAACCCTATTGTGAACATTTTTCTTTGAGCTAAAATATAATTTTTAGTCAAAACAAAATACTCCAATTTGTGATGAGCTGTAACAACAAATCCCTCACTACTGGAGGTTATAGTTTTTCACTACTATAAATGCCACTTTTACACATCAAACTTTCATATTTAGTAGTCAGTGTTTATTCAGCATTTAGTAAGAGCACTGTGATAGCCACTTTACATGGAGTCTTCCACTCAATTTGTGCCACTCAACGAAACAGGAACTCTCATCACCCACATTTTACAGATGAGGGAGCTCAAAGTTACAGAGGCTAAATAACTTCCTCAAGGAAACTGGTGGTGAAGTCAGGATGCAAAGCAGGTCTATATAACCATGGAATGGAGCCTTTGATCACTACTCCGTATTTATCTCCCATTATTTCTTAAGGGGGAGTTCCTGGAAACAGAACTCTTAAAGACAATACTGTCTTTAAAAAAAAAAAAAGTGTTGCCATGTTGCCTTTCAGTAAGATTATAACAGTCTTTACAATGCTCATTTTCATATTCTTACCAATACTGGATACCAGCACTTTAAAAAAGAATTTCAAATTTTCTAAGTTAAAAAAAAAAAAAAAATCAGCTCATTTTACTTTTGTTTTTAATCACTTATTTGTGATTATCTCCTCTAATAGACAAAATATAGTAGAACCTGTTCTCCTAGCTGAGTCCAGTGGCTTTTAACAACAAAAAAGAGATTTTTGCAAATTTAGTATTTTTACTGAAAACACAACTGAGAGATGACTTAGTAGCAAGTAGTGACAGGAAGAATGCTAATTCCTGCTCCCAGGTCAGGAGTGGAGACAGGCAGCTGAGCTAACACACCACTAATGCGTTATCTTTAACATCAGGTGGTCTCAGTAACAAAGAATTTCACTTTGGCCCCTTGTTCCTGATTTGAAGAGGTTCACATCACCGCAAAAAAAAAAAAAGTCCAGAGACAATCTCAGTTCACCTGGACTCTACTTCTTTTTTATTGCCAATACTCCCCATGCCACTCCTCTCTCCCCACACTATCAAGCTGTGGTTCTGAGATGATGGGATCTAAAGCACTTCATATCCCCCCACAACCCACCACATAACTTGCACTCTTCCCGACTAGGGCTATGTAGTTTCCTTCCAGCTGTTTCCAATGAGCCCAGTCTGAATGAAGAGCCATACCTCTGTGCTCCCACTGTATCCTGAGCTTCCTTCAGTTTCCACAAGTGTCAATATGCTTTGTAATTGTTCTACTTCCTCAACTAGATTTCCAATTTGTTGAGAGCAAGTGCCTTGTCTCCACTGCCACACCCAGTTTATAGGACAGTGCCTGGGAATGATAGGCTTTTGTACTTTTTTCATGAATAACTACACTGAGTTGATCAAGCAAACTGATAACCACTTTCACCTGAACTTTCTATCTGTGGGGGAACAGAAAAACTAAAATTGAGTGACCCTCTATTAGATGCCAGTAATTCACACAAATCAATTCAAATAACTCTCACCATAATCAACCGAGGCAGGCAAAAGTTTCCTGTTTTATAAATGAAAACATTAAAGCCTTGTTTCCCACACATAGTAGGGTCAGAATCTGAACCCAAGTCAATGTGATTCTATGCCTTTGCTCTTTATACTATTAGAAACTCAAAGCTATTATCTACTGGAAGGGACAGGTTACTCTTCCACAACTGTTGACTTAACATTCCTTGGAAGTAAAAACTCTTCTAGAACAAAAACTCTATTAGTTCTAGAGATATACCTGGTTAGGAAACAAAGAGGAGAAAGGAAACCTGGGAAAGAAGATGTGGGAAGAGGAGCATGGTAAGGTAAACATTTCTCTACGAGATCTGAAAGCATCACTTGGGATACTCTGAACTCCCAAGCCTGAGAAGTTGTTGGTTGCGTATACTAGTTTATGGCACTGTGACATCATCAGAAGAAAAGAAAAAAACTGAGACGCTGAAATATGCAAGAGGGAGCACAAGGGATACCTGGCACTCATTCTGATGAACAAGTGGTATAACTATAGCTATGTCTAAGCCATTAGAATTCTCTGGAAATTTCCACTTCCTCATTTCTAAACTTTAAGGATTAGGCTGTGAGAATTTCTAACCTGGCTCTGTATTCAAATTACCCCCGAGCCTGTGGAAAATACTGATCTCTAGATCCCACCTCATTCTGATTTAGTAGGCCTGGAGTGGGGCTTAGGAATCCCCAGGTAATTTATAGGCTCAGCCGAGTATAAAAACACCTGAGTGAGATCGTATATCGCTGCCATTCTCTCATCATTTCTAGGAGAGAAAAATGTTAAAGGCTAAAAGAGATGACTCAGTACATTAAGTCACATAACCAAAAACTACCAAGAAATAACAAATTCCTATTCTGAAAGACTTAATAATTCCTTCCTATTTCAAGGTAAAGTAAGTTATGTTCAGTCTTCCTCAACTGGTTAAACCTGCCATTGTTCTACCAATGCTCTAGCCCTTACGAGTATCAAAACCACAGTGGTGGGGAATGCAAACTTTTTTAATTGCTAGGGTTTCTCTAGAGGTATCAGTGTCAATGATTCTCTCAAGTTGCTAGACCATTAGTTCTCCTACTTCTTTAAAGTTCTTCTGAGGATGAACTACTACCAGATTTTAAGGGAAGACAAGCAGTCTCCCCAGGAGGCTGAATAGTAATACCCCTACCTTGACATCTAGCTTGGCCAAGTGCTGTAAAACCCAGATGCGATGGGACCAAGCATTATAGTTGCTTGGGTATCTCCCTGCTGCTTCACCACAGACCTCCATTTCTTCTTGTATTAGTCGCTGTGTCCTTTCTGCAGGAATTGTTCCCAAGTTTCCTTTGGTCACAAAGGAAGGCAAGGAGGTTTCCTGAATTAACTGTTGTAGCACCCATCGCCTGTTAAGGTAGGATATGGGAAACAGAATGAGGAAAGAACATAAACCAGAGAAGAAAACAGCCAGTTTTCATTGATCTTAATTTAATTTCCATTCACAGACAATGCAAAATAATACCTGTCTATAAGCCTTGTTTCCGGGAGGTGGAAAAGGGTTGTTTTGTTGTTTACGAAAATAATTAAATTTAGCAGTATGGATGAGAGGGGAGGTGGAGGATAAACAGAAAAAAAAATCTTTCTAAAACTTTAAAATGTGTCCCCCCAAAAAAAGAACATCAATAGTTCTAAAATGACAATTCCCAAGCTCCATTTGGCCAGGAAATATAAAGGCAATTAGTCTGTGTGTTTGGGGGAGGGAGAGAGGAAGCGGGGAGAGGGAGGAGGAAGATGGGGAGGGGGGAAGAAGGGGGGAAGGGGGAGAGAAAGAGTGTTTGTGTGTGTGTGTGTGTGTGTGTGTGTGTGTGTGTGTTGATGGTAGTGGTGGTGGTGGTAAGGTTATACATTAATGGGTGATAAATATTAGAAAAGAAGTCACGGTTCACATCTTTGATTATATGTGAAGGGGGAAGAAGGGGGGAAGGGGGAGAGAAAGAGTGTTTTGTGTGTGTGTGTGTGTGTGTGTGTGTGTGTGTGTGTGTGGTGGTAGTGTTGGTGGTGGTAAGGTTTATACGTTAATGGTTGATAAATATTAGAAAAGAAGTCACGGTTCACATCTTTGATTATATGTGAGTGCCTAGCCCTAGGTGTATTTGTTTGCAAACAAGAAGCTGCATTCTAACTACTTGCATTAAGCAAAATTTTTATATTATAGCACAAAATCTGGAAGGAAACAAATATAATTAATTATACCATTAAGGTTTCAAAATGTCCTTATCCCTTTGCCTATTTAAGATTCACATTAGCACAAATCTAAACAAGAAGCACTTTAAAAAGTGTTTCTAACTACTGTCTTTAGTTTGTACCAATATTTTACTCAGACAAAAGCATTCTTTTAGACTAACAATTTCCAACCAAAGGTACAGAAAATTGAGTAAGAAAACTCATTTTGTCATTTTTAAATATGGAATTTATTTAATCACAAAATATTACTTTATAAAGAAAATTAGACAAGTCAATAAATTGATGGATGATTGTTCCTTTTCCCTGCCAACATCCCTTTCCAAACCCCCATAGGCAAAATCATATACCTTTCTGTGGTCTACCATCCCAATTTCTAATCAGGAAGAAAACACAACTGACTATGTGGTTTGGAAGAAAGTGATTTGCAATGTTAGTCAAAGGCAAGATTATAGCTGAGACACCTTAAACTGACATAAGGTCCTAAAAATGCTAGGATTTAGGAAAAGTTAGAGTGGTTCAATAAACCAAGAACAGACTTCTTCAGAGTAACTTCTCTACTGATCCCAACCAGCAAGCCCAGACCATCCCATTTTAGTCAAATAACAGTAGTTACATAGGGTCAAAGAGAAGAGGAGACTTTCCAGATAACCAGGATTTTGAGAGTCCTACTGTGTGGTTATTCATCTTGGGCATTTAACCTAAAAATGGTATTTGCATTTATGGTTCTTAGCAACTTTATAGCTCAGCCTACACACTATACACCTCGGCTTCCTCTGTAAGTTAAATTTAATAACCACAACCATCATCACCACCATCTTTTCCAGGGGAACACAACTGAATGCACTTAAAACCTAAGTTGCTCATTATTGTTGAGAATCTAAATGCAATCTCCACAACTGCTTCAGAGAATTAACAGCTAACATCTATTATTTAATATGTGTCAGGTATTGTTGTACTGTTTATATGCATTATCTCATGTAAATTCAACCCTTAACTCTATGTGAGATATGTATAATTATTACTTACATTTTACAAATGAGAAAATTGAGGTTTGGAGAGGTTAAATAATTTCCCATGAACACCAGGTAGCAAGTGAGATAGACCCTACATTTTTTTTTTTTTTTTGAGTCAGGGTCTCATCTGTCACGCAGACTAGAGTGCAAGGGGCATGATCATGTTTTGAGTTTTTAAACAAAGTTTATTAGAGAGAAAAGGGAGAAAAGAAAGGGTGCATGCTGGAGCTGGCATGGGTGAAATAAACTGCCTAGATCCCAGATTTAAACATAGGTAACTTGACTTTAGAATTCATGTTCTGAACCAATATTTGATCTTGCCTCGCATGCAGTATCTCTTTCTCCAGCTATTCTGAATCCTAAGAATAGTCTTTTGTAAATTAACCACACCTGTGAATCCATGTTTCTGGACTCTTTGGAAACTTAGTTAAGGCCAGTTTTCCCAGATGTAAGTCCTTAATTGGATTTAAAGTGCCAGAAAGGATCAGCTCTTTCCTGCAAAAGAAAAAATTTTAAAGCATTACTTTATCCTTCTATCCAAACATTCTACGTAGTTTTTAATAAATTAATTGTGGAAGTGAATTTCTAATAATTAAAAGGAAAAAAATAAAATCAAAACCACTCTGGTGTATAAAACTCTCATAAATGGCACATAAAGTAATCAAGAATGTATTCTCATAACCTCAAAATAACAAATTAATAAGCAGAAAGAAAAGCTCTTAAATCAACAGTGGAACTTTAAACTATTTGGGAGGGGTCAAAGCAGTTTTCTGGCTTGTCTCATTTCCAAAAGTTATGAGACATGACATCATTATCTACAGGATGGATGCAATACAAGTCAAGAATTAGTCTAGTTTCCTAAACAGAACTTGATATGGTCTACTTCATTACAAAACCTCACATACAATAAGCATAATATAATTGAGATGGAAGAAAAAAATCTTTAATCACTACTATAAGCAAATAACTTTATTTATTTTTGAACTTTCCCTTCTACTTTCCCAATATGCATATATATTTTAACATATCATTTTATATTCTACTCTCATTATATCTTAAAAATTTCCTTATGGTTCTATATAATAATCTTTGTAATGAAGAATTTAAATGATCAATCTTGAGCAAATGATCAAAATTATGCTGTAATTTAATGACCTTTTGCCTTACTCTTAGACATTTAGATTGCTCCAACTTTCTGCTTTTTAAAAGAAATCTGGGCTAAGCATGGTGGCTCATGCCTGTAATCCCAGCACTTTGGGAGGCCAAGAAAGGAGGACTGCTTGAGCCCAGGAGTTTGAGACCAGCCTAGGCAACACAACAAGACCTTGTTGCTAAAACAAACAAATTAAAATTAAAATTAAAATTAGCCAGGCCTGGTCCTAGCTACTCAGGAGGCTGACGTGGGAAGACGGCTTGTGCCCAGGAGTTTGAGGTTGCAGTGAGCCATGATTGTGCCCCTTGTACTCCAGTCTGTGTGACAGATGATACTGACTCAAAAAAAAAAAAAAAAAAAAAAGAAAGAAAGAAAGAAAAGAATTCTGGGGGTGGGAGAAAGTTTTGTGCTTATGACTTCTTTCTTTTGTACACTTATTTAGGATAAGTTCCCAAAAAGAGCTGTAACCAGGTAAAATATTTAAATGACCCTTGACATATTAAGACATTCCTTTTTGAAATATAAGCAGCAGAAATAATAGCAATGTAAGATTTTTATTGTTTTTAAAACTGTTCAAGTCCAGCCAAAGCTTCAGTTCAATTACTGTCATTCCTTGGTATCTGTGGAGTTCTGGTTCCAGGATCTCCCAAGAATACCAAAACCCAGGAATGCTCAAGTCCCTGATATAAAGTGGCACTGTTCACATATAACCTATGCACATCTTCTTATATTCTTTATATTATTATCTCTAGGTTTCTTATAATACCTAATACAATGAAATGCTATATAATAGTTGTTATACTATATTGTTTGGGGAATGATGACAAGAAAGAGTCTGTACATGTTCAATTTTTTTCACCAATATTTTCAAACTGTAGTTGGTTGAATTCACAGATGAGGAACCCATGGATACAGAGGACCAACTATATACAGAATGTCATGCAAGGGCTTTCTACATTATTTCTCGGGTAAATGCGATTTATGTTTAATTTCTCAGATAAGGCTTCATGTAAGTGCTGATACTGGGGATTACACTTCCAATTCTCAATGTATCTATAATTTTATGATAAATCAGATAATTTGCTAATATTTGTTCATCTTAAAATGTCCTTCCTGTGGTAAGGTTGACCATTTATTTTAGAGAAGTTACAGCCCCAGAAAACCAGGGTCCAGCTCTTTTATCATACCTACAAAATGGATTTAGTTTCTAAATACCACAATACATTTTCTTTCCAACAGTGATGTACTATTTCTAAATTTTTGATAAGGAAAATAACTTCCTTTTTAATAAAAATGCTAAACATTGATGATAAATACTTGCACTTAATAATTATTGTTAGGTAAGTAATTTTATAAAATAATTTAAAGTGATATCAAGAAGGTTTATGACCACTTTAAATGAATGGATTTATTGATTATTTTCCTTTCCACGTTCAGGAAACCTATTTGTCATTAAAAAAATATATATATATATATTTATTATATATATTATATATATAATGCAACAGTCAATTGTTTTTGAAGTCTTAGATCCTTTTTCTTCTGAAATGCAGTAACATTTTGTTTATATAGTCAGTCAGGATACTTATGAAATAAATGAAAGCAAAAGATTGATCTATGCAATTTTATCTACTTTGTAGAGCAGTGTTTCTCAAAGCAGACTCTGACAGCAGCATCAGCATCATCTGGAACACGTTAGAAATGTAGACTCTCAGGCCTCAGCTCAAACCCACTAAATTTCTGTGGGCAAACCAATCTGTGTTTTAAAACAAGCCCTTCAGGCAATGTAAATTAAAGTTTCAAACATAAGTCTACTGTAGATAATTTGCTGTATTAAGCTTAATTACCATTTACTAAATTTAAGATCTCATTATTTATTTATTTTTTTTGGAGTTGGAGTCTCACTCTGTCACCCAGGCTGGAGTGCAGTGGCACGCTCATGGCTACCACAGCCTCAGCCTGCTGGTGATCCTTCTGCCTTAGCCTTCCAAGTAGCTGGAACTACAGGTGTTGTCACAATGCCCGGCTAATTTTTTGATTTACTGTAGACACAAAGTCTTGCCAAGTTGTCCAGGCTGGTCTCAAACCCCTGGGCTCTGGCAATCCTCTCTCCTTGGCCTCCCAAAGTGCTGGGATTACAGGTGTGAGTCACCATGCCTGGCTGATTTATTATTATTTACAACTGCCTACCTTTATTCACATAGATATCCACATATAAAGGGAGATAAGATTTTCTTCCAAACAAGAGGGAGTCATCTTATAACTGAGTCTTTACATAGTTTCTTAAATTATGGGCACTCTCTTAATATCTTTTTTTTAACTTTTAAATTTTTTATTTTAAAGATGTGGGGTACAATTCAGGATTAGTTATACAAATGTTCATTATGCAGGTACCCTTGTTGATGAGGTGTGCCCCCACTTCCCCTGGCAGTTTCCCTTAATTGTCAATCCCATCCCCCCTCCCCTGGCTGTTACCCACTACTGCCAATCCCTTATAATATTATGATAATTATTCAAGGTCCACTTATGAGTGAGAACATATGGTACTCTGTTCTTTGTTTCTGTGATAGATCACTGAGTATGACAGACTCTAAATCCAACCAAGTTGCTGTTTGTCCTTCTTCATGGCTGTATAAAATTCCATTGTATATGTACATGTACATTTTTTGAATCTAGTCCAGCTTCGATGGGCAGCAAGGTTGGTTCCATACTTTTGTTATTGTGAATACAGCTGTAACAAACATGTGTGTGCAGGTATCTTTTTTGTAGAATGATTTGAATTCCTCTGTGTATATTTCCAGTAGGGGGATTGCTAAGTCATATGGAAGGTCAATTTCTAGTTTTTTCAGAAAACGTCATACTGTCTTCCAAAGAGATTGTACTAGTTTGCATTCCCACCAGCAATGTAGAAGCGTTCCTTTTTCTCCACATCCTCACCAGCATCTGTTGTTGTTTGTTTTATTAATGATGGCCATCCTGACTGGAGTTAGGAGGTATCTCAATGTGGTTTTGATCTGCATTTCTCTGATGATGAGTAAGGCTGACCACTTCTTCATGTGTCTGTTGGCTGCCAGTATATATTCTTTTGAGAAGTGTCTATTCATGTCTTTTGCCCACTTTTTAATGGGGCTTTTTTTTTTCCTTTGGGCACGTTTGAGTTCCTTGTAGATCTTAGAAGTTAGACCTTTATCAGATATACAGTTGACAAATATTTTTTCCCATTCTGTGGGCTGTCTCTTGATGGTTTCTTTTGCTTTGCAGAAGCTTGTCAATTTGATGAGGTCCCACTTGTCTATCTTATCTCTTATGGCATGGGCACTTGGGGTTTTGATCAGGAATTGGTTGCCAGTTCCAATTTCCATAAGGGTGTCTTTTGCATTTTCTAAGATTCTTATAGTTTGAGGTTTTATGTTTAGGTCTTTGATCCATTTAGAGTTAATTTTTCTGTATGGTGATTGGTAGGAGTCCTGTTTCAATCTTCTGCAGGTGATCAGCCAGTTTTCCCAGTGTCATTTACTGAATAGGTTCTCCTCTCCCCAGTAGTTGTTGGTGGAGGCTTCATCAAAGATAAGTTGGTTGAGATATTGAGGCTTTGCTTCCAGAATTTCTATCCTGGCTTAATATCTTTATTTTGAACAACTAAGTAGTATTTTGGGGAAGAGATCTTAGCTTGAAATAATCTCAACCAATGGTATCTATGAATGCTTTAAAAGATCACATGATAAAATCATAAAAAAGGAATTTAATGGACATTTCTGGGGCAGTACTGAACATTTGTAGGTGTTGGATACTGTTGTAAGATAGTTTTATTTTAAATCACTTTACAAAGAAATACGGTAGGTTAAATTATAATAATCACATAACCTAGAGACGCAATTTTTAAAAAATCAACTGCTTTACTGTATTCAAAGAGCAATCTATATGGCTTGAGATAAAATTTCCTGTTACACATGGATTTAAAAAATGCTGTAGCTCAAACAACTTAAGATATAATATGATGGGCTCTGGAAAACTGTGCTGCAGAACCAAAAAAAAGGCTCTCATAATGACAAAGTCACTAATGCCAGTAAGTCACATGAAGAGACTGAATAAAACTGATTAACAAAATGTGAATAGGAAAATGAAGAATTTATAATTTAAATATTTCACATCATACAGCATTTTAAAGATATGAAACTAAACTGAAATAAATATAAGAAGGTATTTACTTATTTCATGTACATCCCTTAAAGCTTATATACTGCCAGGCGCAGTAGGTCACATCTGTAATCCCAGCACCTGGCAAGCTGAGACGAAAGGACTGCCTGAGCCCACAGGTTCGAGACCAGCCTGGGCAACATGG